GTATGTGGTGCTGAGGATCGAACCCGGGCCGCACGCATGCCAGGCGAGCGCGCTACCGCTTGAGCCACATCCCCAGCCCAGTACTTTAATTTCTAAACAGTCAATATACTATTGCTATTACCATCAAAGACAATCAGGAGAAAGTATTTTACATTATTTTTCACATTATTTTCTTTGTATAAGTTTGTCTAACTATTTTAATGATTTAAAGCACTGTGGTAGTTCCATTTTAGCCAGGCATGGTGACTTACACTTGTAATCCCAGTGACTTGGGAGGCTGAGCCAGGAGGATTAGAAGTTTGAGGCTAGTTAGGACTCAGTGAGACCATGTCTCAAAATAAAAATCAAAAAGGGATGGGAATGTGGCTCCATGGTTAAATGCCTCTGGGTTCAATTCCTAGTACTGCTCCACCCCCCCTGAAAAAAGGATCCATTTTAGTTAGGTCAACATTATTCATTACTTCATGTACCCAAACTGTACACGAGGAAGATAGCTTGAATGTGTTTAGCAGCAAAGAAAAAGTAACATTTTTTATTTTGAAGAAAGAAAATGCTAAGCTTAAGACTGAAAAATATACTAGGGAAGCTGTCAAAAATACGAGGGAAGATAATAATAGTAGCAGTAATAATAGCAGCAAACACGTGTATCTCCTATGTGGAAAGCACCTTCTAAGTGCTGTACACATATTAATGTACACATATTAACAGTCATCACATCTGTTCATAAAGCACTGTTTTTATATTTTAGGAATGATGAAGGTGAGCCATAGAGAGACTAAGTAGCTCATCCAAAGTCATAAAGTTAGATAGAGGTAAGATTTGAACCTGGGTTGTTCGGCTCCCTCAGCCATGAGGTTGAACTGTAGTCACAAGTACCACGAAAAATTAGTCTTATCTTCCTAGATTTAACCAGCCGGTACTCTTTTCTGTGGTGGGGTTGGGTACTAGGGATTGAAGTCAGGGGCACTCGACCACTAAGCCATATCCCAGCCCTATTTTGAATTTATTTAGAGACAGGGTCTCACTGAGTTGCTGAGACTGGTCTCCTGGCCTAGCCTCCTGAGTTGCTGGGATTAGAGTCATTGTTCCTGGAGACCCAGTATTCTTTATTATTCATATTTCTAAGTTCTGTGAACATGCTTATAATTAACTTAATAATTAGTATGCACATCTTTTCTGTAGCTTTGAGTATTTTTTTAAAAATTTATTAGTCTTACCCAAACAATTTTTAATGGTTGATACACAGTAGATATTATGCTAAGCATAAATTCAGAATTCCAAACCTCAGTCTAAAGGATATACATTTGTCTTTTGGCTTCAGTTATTTTCACAACCTGAATTATTTGGATTACACTCCACCCCTGGTACTGGGGATTGAACTCAGGAGCACTCCATCAGCCCTTTTTGAGACAGGGTTTTGCTAAATTGCCCAGGCTGGCTTTGAATTTTCCATCTTCCTACCTCAGTCTCCTAAAGAGCTGGGATTACAGGTCTGTGCCACCATCTTACTGGATGTTTTTATTTTAATAATTCCTTCCCAATTTTTTTTATGTGTTTTCTTTTTTCTTTTTTTTCTTTTTTAAGAGAGAGTGAGAGAGAGAGGGGGACAGAGAGAGAGAGAGAGAATTTTAACATTTATTTATTTTTTCTTAGTTCTCGGCGGACACAACATCTTTGTTGGTATGTGGTGCTGAGGATCGAACCCGGGCCGCACGCATGCCAGGCGAGCATGC